CATTCGTTCGACCCCATGCGTTGCACGGGTTAAATACTAGTTTGGAGAAATTTTAAAGACTTAAGCGTGCTGGCATGGGAGTAGCAAAAATGATGGGTGACTTACTGGGAAGTAGATTTGGGCTTATGGGGCTGGGCTTACTTTGGGCTTTCTATAGTGGGCTATCTACCTTGGGTGTTAACGAGCCCCGGGCTAGTCACGAGGTTAACGGGCCTCGGGCCCACTGCTTGTTCATCATTAAAAAACATTTAAATATAAATATAAATATATATATATATATATATATATATATATATATATATATATATATATATCCTTCACTATAATAAAGGAGACTATAAGAATTTGACATTTGGCATGTCTATTTGGCAAAATTTTAACATGTCAGCGCCACGTAATCCTTTACTACAATACTTGACACTCATGTCTCCAAAAAGTTGATATGTGTCATCTTACAAAGCAATTTTTAAATGACATGGCAAATGAATAAACTACATGACATGCTTTAAATTCTCATTCATCATTTATGAAAATTTATTTATGATAAATTTTAATTTTTTGGGTAAACTATAGTTTTTTAAACACTATTAATTTATTCTTTTGTATGAAAATTTATTGAGCTAAAATATATTCCGTACTCTGGAGTAGCTCATCTTATACCACTAATTAGAGATGATAAATTTATTAAATAAATTTAGTGCATTATGGGTTTATGTATATTAGATAATTTTTAATATGAAAACTTTGTGGTTTAATGTATTCAAAAAACTTTTTTAATAATTAACATTTCCTTAAAAATATACTCCCTCCGTGCCATTTTAAATTGCCTGTTTGTCTTTTTCCTCCGTCCTAAAATAAGTTGCCTGTTAGCTGTTTTCGTAAACTTTTAAAAATAAAATACCTAAACTACCCCTAAAATAAGTCACTGTTCTTCACTTTATCTTCTCATTCATCATCACCCCTTCTAAAAAGTAATGACAATTTTGGAAAATCAACTCTATTTTTATTTTCCTTAAATATGCCAAAAAATCAAAACAGGTGATTTAAATTGGGACGGAGGGAGTAATAGGGAGTATAAAAAATCTATCAAGATTTAAATTTTGTTTGAGATATTATATATATTTACATCACAGTATTGATAGTCTATTAAAGTATTTATTAATAATAGAAACATTGTTTATAAATGATAAAACTTTTGTTTTTAAATGAAAGTATTTTCATAAAGGAAATATAAATTTTAAAAAGAATTGTTTTCATCCTCTTTATTAGTAGGACTTTTTGAGCCTTTATTTTTCTTTATTAGAACATAATTTTCATGGAGAAAATAGATAATTTAAAAAATATAATCTTGATATTCATATATTTATAGATTCAAGTACTGCATGACAACGTATTTTTTGAATAGAATATATTAAAATAGTTCTATCGCTCTAAATGGTTTCAAAAAAAGGTATGAATACCTCATTTATTTTCAAACTTATATAAAAAACGTCTATCATTTCAAAAGGTTGCACACGCACCACACCGGTTCATACCATTTTCCGTTCATTTTTATTGAAAGGGGGGCATTGATACACATTCAAATCAACATGAGCTGTTGAGCATCAATGCATATTATCATTTTTTAGCTTTTTTCATATATAATTGTTCTTTATAATGTTTTAAAAATCAAATTGGTTTGTATTTGAAATAAAAAATTGATCACATCTAATCAGATGAGATCCAATCAGATCAGATCAGTCCCAATCAGATCGGATCAGATCAGATCAGATCAGAACTACAAAAAATCAGATCAGATTAGAAAAAATAAATTGAACGGAACGGAGCCTAAGTGAATTGTCATATAAGAATGTCATAGCACTAAACTCCTTTAAGGATCATTCATTTGAATTAAATAACTTTTCAATCTCAATCAAACCTATATATATATATATATATATATATATATATATATATATATATATATATATATATATTGGTTCTGGTGAGAATGAAATCTTACGAAATAAATAAGAATAAATATGGGACATGCAATCTAGGAGATAAGCCTTGATAACTTCGACATTTGACATGGGCAAATTAGTATTTTCATGATTTCCGTTTCTATACCCCTATTCTTACGCCCATCTCCGCATAATCAGCGATCTTCGTCAATCTCGATCTACTCTTGATCCTTCTCTTTGATCTAATTTTATAATCAAGAAATTTGTTTCCCTAGAAGAGTTTTTTAATTTATGATTTGCCCATGTATTCTTTTATCGGCGCAAAGAAGCTTCGGCTCCATAGCTCTGTAGGATTGACGCGCCATGACGGCTAAAGTTGAGCGATGCTTAGTTCTTGATATAACAATCCTCTCCGATCTTATTCAGGTTAATTCTTCTTCTTTTTTTCTTAATTTAATGATATGCATCAATTTTTAAATCAATTTTTACATACTCACTTTAATTTCAACTCTTAATTTAATGATATGCATAAATATATTTCTTCTTCTTTTTTTCTTAATTTAATGTTGAGCGACGCACATTTTTTGTTGTTTTCAAAGAATTGAAGATAAATCATCATGCTGCATAATTCACATCTTATATTTGTGTGGCTTCTTTTTCTTAAGACATATTAAATTGTTATGTGATTTTTACCTGACACTATTGTGTAACATTGTATTGTGATGCACTTTTCAATTGTAAATATTACGGGTAGCTTTGTGAATTTTTAGTGGTGCACAATGGATTATAAATAGTGCATTATTTGTGCCTTATATTATTAATGTATTTACAATCAATGATGTTGATTTGACCTATATTTTTCAGTTCTTTAATGTATTGCTAATGCATTTGACTCCCTTTCAAATATGTTGGTGTCCTCTATAGTTCTCTGTTTTTCTCCTTAGGTTAAGAATAGTCTTAGAATCTTATTTGTGATCTGTCACAAGAATCAAACTAAATTATTTTGGTTGCTTTGGCAATACAAACTTAGGGATACCAGAAACAACACGACAATGGGCTTTTTAATATTGCTAAATAGTGCATTGAGATGAACTTTACTGCTATTTAGCAGATGGTTTGTGTTTTTGGATTTGTGTTGTTGCAACATTTCTCAATGTGTGAGTATTCGTGCACCAATGATGCTCATGGTTTCACCCAGATGGATAGTTGCCTAACTGTAGCTCTTTCATGTTCTTTTGGGATGATTGTGGTTGCGCTTCACTCATCACTTATTTGTGTTTAAGCGCCAAGTATGCACATATTTTTATTTGTTGCCTTCTGTAATTGTGAGATGGAGCTCCTCATGATTTTTTAATTCACTTAGAAGTATGGTAGCTAAAATTAACTGGACACATGTGCAGCATGTATTGGAGTGTTATGTTAGGATTTTGATTCTTGGAATAAAAATTTATGGATGTGCATATTAAACTCAAGTCATTTGCTACTTTTTACACAGGTGTCTTGGCAATGTCAAATTAGTGGCAAATTTTGCAATACAATATGCAGCTGACACTGCCTAAATTAATCAATGAAGGCACAATGACTTTTGATGTTTTGACTATGGAATTTGCTCCGTCGAGCTTCCGGTCCAAGACTTTTAGAATCTATGATACTTTCAATAGCATTTGTATTACTCTTTAGAAATCATCCTAAATAGGACTAAAACATAGAGAAAAGTACCAAAATAAGACTTTCATTTGTTTTTTCCCGGAATAGGATTTTGCATTGTAGTAATGTGACTTTGCATTATGGTAATGTGGCAGTGTACATGTGCAAATTACTATACTTTTTTGGTAATGTATATGACCATGTTTGGTGATGTAAGTCCTATTTCGGGAATAAAAACATGGAAGTCTTATTTTGGTATATTTTCAATGTTTTAGTCCTACTTTGATCTTTTTCCCTTACTCTTCCTCTCATATTGTATATGAATAAGAATTATTACCATATAAATTACTCACTTTTCCCATTCTAAAAGTCTTGCTTTCTTAGTTCAATTAGCATCTCAGATTTGTTTACTTTCATTATATTCTTTTAAATTTCAACAAAAGTACTTCATTTATATTTTCAAATTATGCTATTTAATTTATTTGACGTGTTAACTTATTGACACAAGATTCATAAAAAAAAGTGATAATCTTTTTTAGGTTAAGTTTAAAAATACAATTAATACCAATAAAATGTGGGTAAGAAGCAACTTAGAAACAAAGCTAATGACGTAGCAATGCATATAATACCTCATGAGCAATAATAGTAGCAAGCTGAATATTACACCTAAAATACTTTAACAAACCAACGGAGATGATAATTTTTCTAACAGGCAAAAGCGTTAACTAGAGGGTCATTTACCACCAAAATCTTCCAATTTCAATTTCCCTACATGCCCAAGATATTTTTGAGGGTTTATAATTTGTTTTTGCATGTTCTCGGAGAATAGGGACTAAAAATGCACCATTATGGCTGTGAAAATGCATTATCAAAAAACATGAGTGTAGACAATGATGAATCGTCTCAAAATATCTGCAAGACAAAAAATCTCTACAAACACTTTCAAAATTTATCTTAAAGTGCACACTATTGAGCAAGAGAATGCATATGTATGTTATAATGAAATGATGCATATTTAGGTTAAGGGGATGGATATATGAGTATACACAGGGTAGTAAAAAATAACAATGTTGGAAAAATGTGAATACCAAGAATAAAATGGCACAAACTATCATTCATACTAAAAGATGATTACATTTTTTTCTAAATGAATAGTTTGAATTTTGAACTCACCAAATGCATTCAAAGTTAATTACATAAATATCTAAATCATGCAATAAAAATATTTTAAGATGCAATACAAAAGCGCAAAGTATGGTGGTCAACATGTTCTTTCGACACTGGTTAAAAGCTTCACTGCACCATCGTTGTTTTTTGCTTCTGACGAATCCTAATCAACGTGTTTCACTTCTCACTTTCCCTGACTCTTATGAACACAATCCTTAGTCATTCTATCTTGCAAAATAGCAAGGGTTGGTATTTGCTTCATTCTCCCTGATTGTTGTATTCTTTTTTGAAACTTTAGTAATTCACCTACCTACAAATGCACTATTAACATATCAAGATGCATTGCAGATAGATGGTAGAAATGTAACCCCCCACCTGCAGATGCACAATTAAAATACCAAGATACATCACACATCGATGCATTATGAGCACATCAAGAGACATCGCATACAGATTACAGATGCATTATGAGCATATTTAATATGAGTATCCCCTACCTACAGATGCATCACAAATAGAACACAAATTACAGGTGCTTGGTGCTTGGTGAAAGAAATAAGAATAATATTCATTCGTTGGATTGGGTGCATCGGATGGCCAAGATTCAACAATGCATTTAATACACCAATGAATTTAACTTTGTAAAGTAATTACTAGCCTCCGAAAAATTAGGAATGAATCAATCATTAGGGGCATAATGGTCAGTGAACTAATACGGAATACATGCGTGAATAACTAAATTTATATGGAGTATTTCATTTGTTGGTCATACAACAAACCAATTTGGTATTAAATTATTTAGTTCATTTCATTTAATTACTCCGTATTATAATACACTGCTCTCTATTTTCAACATAACTTTTCACAAACAAGTCATCTTTGACAAATAATATACCGTTTAAAATCTCTCATCGAGATCTATACAACGATATCAATATTGAATATAAAATTTTGATATTATCTACTCACATTTTTAAGTAAGAAAAGTTAAATTTATAAACAAAATTTTCAACATTATTTAACCAAAAAAAATATTTTTTAAGCGGTTTTCGAGATGTTACAAACTCTCTTAATGCTACTCTTTTTGATGCACTTAGGAAACAGATTTTAATATTCTGCATTTTTGGAGTTATCTCAAGGAGATGCATTGTAATATTCAAAATTATAGATTTAATGTGAATGCACTGTGATGACTAATATATGCATTATGTTTTGCTGCTTTGTCGTCATTTAGATTTAATTTATTTTTTATTTTATCAATTTATGATTAAGTGAATAATGACTCTTGGGTGACTTTATTTGTGACGTGAAAACATGAGAATCCTTTATATTCAAAAGTGTAGTACCAATTTGAGAAATATTTTGCCTATATAGGATTCGAACCCACATCTGTAGTATACACCGCTCTACCATTTGAGCTAATAGGCATACTCTCATCTTGTACTTTGACCTATTAAAGACATAATTATATATAAAATTTGCATCTTTCAAAGTTTTTCTAACCTATATCCAGATGTAGCATTGAACATTTTAAATGCATCGTCGTTTGCTAGACGATCGCTTTCTAGAATATACAAATGTATCATATTTGTGTCAAAAGAATTTCATCATATGATAGATAAATTTTACTTTAATTTTGATAATGCACAATAAATGAATGAATTACCTTTTCCTCTATTCTGATAATGCATAGCCTTATCATGTAAATGCATTACTTTAGTGTTGATAATGCAATATAAGAAAAATATATGCTCACTTTGTTGATTAAATTTTAACAATGCAAAACATGTTACAATGCACCTTGAATTCTCTGTGGTGCATGGTAAGGCTATGACTATTTGTTTTAGAGAACTATGTCGCTGGCTTTTGAAAAATGCACCAATTGATTAAAAATTCCAATGAATAACAACAAGCCTCATTCTACTTGACCATCTATAAAATGTGTAGTGAAACTAACAGTAAAGCAAAAAAATGCAAAAAATAAAGTACATATTAATTAGTAGATGCATATTAAAGAGTCCAAAGTGTTTATTTGGGACACAACGAGTAAAATATATTTAGGGATTGGAAAGAATGAGTTAGATGATACATTTTGTACATAACAGATGAAGAAAAGGGTCATGAATGAGGTGAATGTCCTGAAATTAAAAAAACCATTTCATTAACTGCTCTCGGAATTTATATTCATTCAAGAGCAAATAACTAATGCATATTAAGGAACCCATAATGCGTATTTGACATAGAGTGAGAAATACATATTTTAGGATTAAACCACCCCATCATTAGATAAGAACAAATTTAAATTCAAATGCGAAGACTCATCTATGCAAAATGAAAGATTTAACATAAAATTGCTACTTATTTTCATTTACTATGTAGAAGCTAAAGATGACCAAGAAATCATGTTCATGAACTGATGCACATACTGAAATTCAGAGTGCATATCTAAGACATAGAATAATCATAATAATACTTTGTGACATCAGATTGTTATGAAAAACAAGGGTCAATTGGTAAAACTTGCCTCATATTCTTTGGTGTCAATACTAGTGCATAGAACATTTTAAATGCATCAATGTTTGAGGAAAATTCAATATGCACAAGATTAAAATGCATCATGTTTGTGTCAGGAGATGTGTTTCTTGCACCATTTTATTTTTTATGCATACAAAATGATATTTATCTTCAAGTCTTTTATTTGCATAAAAATGAGCTTGTACACAACTAAGGTGTTACTATGCAAAAATTTAAAATGTAGTCTTTGCATCTGCATGATGCACTATTATTTAAACGAAATGCACTACTATGCAAAAATATTAAATGAAAAAAATTTAGCATCAATGATATTAGAAGCTAGAATAAGATTGCACAAAATAAAATATAATTGCTGGAATCAAATACAAAAAATGAAATTGACTCAAATTAGAAAGCTAGAAGTGGGTTGCACCGAATGTGTTTTTGGGACATTTTATCAAACATGTGGCTTGCAAACATATACTCAAATGATTCAACACTAATTTGTTGAGCCAGCATCTCAATGTTTCAAATCAGTTTCAAATCATTTCCTATAACAAAGCAACAAAGAATATCCAATTTAAAAATAATATCTAACAAAGAGATAAAATGATGAATAATTAGCCTAAAGAATTAAAAACAATTAGAATCCAAAATTGAAGGTGAAAATAGTCATCTCTACTAAGAAATTGTAAAGTAAATAAAAGTAAATAAAAATCTCGGTGATATTGCATATAAAGAACATCTTAAGAGCAAAACAAGAAATTGAAGCATGATATTTCACAAATCTTGTGAAATTCATCAATGAAAACGAGAGAGAAAGAGATAGAGAGAACCTGGATCAATTGTGAGAAGGAAGATAGATCGCAGATTTTCTAAAGAGTTGAGAATGGAGTAGATCCGTAAAATTAGGAGTAGATTTAGGAAATAGATGGGAGAGAGAATATAATGAGATAGGTGAGGTCTTGAAATACCAAAATACCCAAGATTCAGCGCAAACGTGATATCAGATCTAAGGGTGGATATTCATTCTCATTTCTTTCCTAAGATCTCATTCTCACCAGAACCAAAATATATATATATATATATATATATATATATATATATATATATATATATTTTATTGAGAAATTTATTATATTAAAAAGAAAAGATGAAAGGGTACATGATGGGTGGCCAAGAGTCCCAACAAGACAGGCCAAGAGAAAAATAAAAAGGTACCAAATTACAAAACAACAATGCATGAGAGATTCCACAATAAACAACCAAACAGAGAACCTCCGACCAGCCACCAAAAACCAAACAAAATACACATGGAGTGGGATGCTTTCTTCTGCAAACTTCTGCCCCACCCAGCCACATTATTACCTCCTCTTAAAGCAGTATATGTTGAGATCCATTGTACCAAACACAGCAAGAGCTCCATCTTAGGAGTTATCCCATGAAATGTCTTGACCAATAGAGAGTTACCAAGACCCAGGACTTGAAACAAAAAGGACATCAATGTAGCATTCCAGGATTTCCAGCCACAGTTTCGAATATATAGTAAGAAGAGAAATCATCTAAAGCTGCCCAGTACCAAACTTTAGCTAAATTCCGTATTAACTGGAGAAAGCCAACCTTAAACGTAGATAAACCAAGGCTAGAATTACCTTTACAGCACCCTGAACTGCAAGAGGTTGAACGGTCTGGAAAGATTTGTGGTGGTGATACATCGAGCAATAGCTTTAATCCCCTATGAGAAACTATTAAAACAATCTACTGCGATTCCAAGCTCATGTGAGCCAGGGCCGGCCCAATAGGGGGACAAAGTGTCCGTCCGGGCCGGGCCCAAGAATTTAAGGGGCACCAAAAAATTTTTTAAGTATTATATATATATAAGCCCATCCCATTTAAAAGCCCAGTCCACTCCCTTACCCCCTTAGCTTACGGCGTAGACAAAAAAAAGAACCATAGAGCCGATAGATTAGTCGAATTGCAGAAGAAAGGACGCCGATAGCCGAAGAAGCAGAAGAGCCGATTAGCCGAAGAAAGGACGCCGCCGTCACGCCGCCGGACTCCGACCTCCGCCCTCCAGGTATTCCATATATATTGAATTATTCATAGCTTTTCAATTTTGTAATTTTTATTTCTTAATTTTCTTTCATTGTTTCATTTTTTAGATTTAAAATCTAGGGTTAATTATTAGTTTTTAATTTGAAATCTTTTCTAATTTCATTCTATGAAATAGAATGAATTAATGGTTCTATATGTTATTTATTTGATTTGGATGGATTAATTTGAATTTGTTATTTATGATATATTTATATAAAAAAAACTGAAAACTAAAACAAAATAAAAAACTGATAAATTGACGAATTGATATGAATTTATGATTTTTAAAAAAATTAAAACTGAAAAAGAAAAAACAATTAAAAAAAGAAAAATTGACGAATTGATATGAATTTATGATAGATTTATTTATTTCCTTGCTTTTTCAGTTTTTCATATATGATTTTACTAAGTAGTAGAATTTATGAATTTGGATTTTATTTCAGAAATAATTCAATAGCTATGGCTCGGTTGGCTCCTATACAATTATCCAGTAGTCAAAAAAGAAAAAAGAGAAAACGAGATGAAGAAATGAGAAAGTCTCAAGCCGGAGCTCTATATCAGTTTATGAATCGAAACCTGTTGCTGAAGACGAAGAAGTAGAAGTAAAAGAGATGGAAGAGCAAGAGCATCTACAAATAGAGCAAGAACATGTTGAATCCTCGGCTAGCTTTTACGGTATATAATTATAATACTATAATTTTGTCATTTTTTTCCTATTAATATTGCATTAATTATCATTTATATATAATTAGTTTACGTATGTTAATTTGTTAGATCATCATAAATAAGATTTTTAGGGCCTTTTTTTTGTTTCGGCCCAGGCATATGAATTCTCAGGACCGGCCCTGATGTGAGCTGTGACTGCCTCTGCGTCTATATATATATATATATATATATATATATATATATATATATATATATATATATATACATACATACTAGTGTTTAACTCGTGCCACGCACGGGGTCAAATAAAATTATTGTCGATTCAAAAAATATTTTTCAATGCATTTTTTTCACCGGAATAAAGAAAATATATCTCTCGCATGTTTTGTAATAATATATACAAAAAATGCCATAGAAAAATAAATACCATTCGAGGAATTGAACGTAGACTCATCAAAGTTTGTTTTAGTAGTAAATTTCAAAAATTAGTTTTATCCATGGTATACAACATTTTTGTTATGCTTGCAAAAATTTTTATTATCGTCTAAAATTATTATTTTTAGATTTTTAGTTGTGTCTTTGTGTTCACTCATGAAACAGAAACATAAAATTGACCATGTGTAAATACTAATTTGTTATAAATAATGTCACAAATGATAATGTTTGAACTTGACTTTTATTAATAGAGACGATTGGAAGTTGTCTCCTCTAAAAGTTTAGGGGTAATCCTCAGACAGATGGTACCAAATTTATTCTATGGATGTAAATCTTTTTCCCAACTCGACTTTTTAAACCATAATTATACTGATAACATTTTTTCGCAACTCTTCGACGATTAATCTTATCACAATACATCATCTAGAGGTTAGGTTAATATCTATTCATCAATATCATATTTGGTACCTATTTTATCAAAACTACCCGAGTATTTTGTAATTTGGGATTTCAGAACATTTGATTTCATTTTAAAAAATAGAGTTATCAATTCTTAAGATTATAGGCATCAAAGTCACAAAAAAATATTAATTTGGTCACTATGTTCAATCAATCCGAAAAATATCTTGAAATTACAATTTCTAGGTATTATTGTTTATAAAAAATGAAATGTTTACATACGTATGTAAGTTTGAAATTTTTTTTAGAAATAGAAACTTTGAGAATTATTAATATATACAGATAACATATATAATAAAAGAGAATCCACAAAACACCATATACTCTAAAAAATATAGCATGAATTGAAATTAAATCATCATATACTCTAAAAATGAAGCGAGATATATTATTATTATTATTATTATTATTATTATTGAAATTAAACAATAATCCAAAATCTGTCATAATTATTGAAATTAACCCATCAAGCATGTTTAATTAAGTATAACACATAACTTATCTATCAATAAAATTATAAAGCATATATTGTCTAATAATTAAATTCAATCATAAAATCAAAATTATAGTAAAAACAAAGTAATTTTAGAACTATATTTTTTCAACTTTAAGAGTCTTCATCTGGTTGACCATTTCACTTTCATCTCCAACATTAGGCTCTTTCTCTTGCATTCTCTTAAGTGAGGTAAGATTTGTCATATAATCTTGAGGTTGCGATGACCGACCTCACGATCATCCATGATTTCTACAAAATCAACAATTAAATCCTACAAAATAAAGTAAAATTCTATCAATAAAGGTATAAAATTCAACTTACAATTTTAAAGGCCCTACAATTTTTTTTACAATGGATAATGTTATTTTTATTCTTCAAATTCTTTCATAAAATAAAGCTAAGTGTCTGTTGCAACTACATGTCAAAATGAGACAGGTCTTGTATTATAGAGAAAAAATGACCATATTGAAAAGACAAACCAAATTAAATGGACATCTTAATAGCTCCATCAATTAGAATGGGAGCTGAGAGACCTAACACAGATAGTAAAATAAAATGAATAAAATTGTTAGCGAACTCACATGTAAAGACCATATGAATGATACACCGTGAGACACAAAGGACCATATAAATATTATCTTTTGTTTATCATCAACCTGATAAATTTTGATCAAAGAATATTTAGAAAGAAATTCAAGGGTATGCTATGAAACAAAAGAGTTAATCCAACACACATAGTGATACATAAAAGCACATATACACACTCTTAAGATGGCATAAAGAACTAAAATAATTACTACATGACAAATGTCATATGAAACTAATATAAAGTAAGACCAATATATCTCTTTGTAAAATATGACACTCACATGGAACACTGAAAAAGTCCATGCAAACCAATAGAAAAATTATAGGTAAGATCATACATATTTTTAAAATACTAAATGCTCATGTGATAAATTAATACCTCAATAGCTTTTTGCACAACAATTGCCTCCTCAAATTCCACACATCCAAAATAGAATCCTTGTATCTATCACAACCCAATAACAAATTACCAAATGAAAAAGATAGAGTAATAAGAGTACTAAATTGTATATACATGATTTAGAAATTTTGAAATGAAAAAAAAAATTAGAAATCTTGTAGCCTATTTTGAAATGAAAAAAAAAATCTTGTAGCCTATTAAATCATAGATTTAGAAATTAAGGACCACATGATTTCAGGGATTCTCACGGTTGAAAAATTTCCATCAATGCTCTCAATCTTGTATATTTCGAGACTTTTGAATTAGTCGGTGGAAAAGTACTTCCCTTTGGTGAAGAAGGCGAAGAAGAGATGCGTAAAGAGTGCGCAATTTTGGGGAAGGAATCTGGTACTTGCCTTAATTGAAGAAGAGAACAAAGAAGAGGTTTCTTCGGTGAATCTATGGGCGAAGAAGTCAAAAAATCTAGCGTCGAAGAGACGCTTGTAACCTTATGTGTCAAAAAACTACGCCTTTAAAAATGCCACATGTCAATTTTCTAGAAGTCAAACTTTTAAATTTATATATAAAGTATTACTCACTATGATGCATAAGAGTTAAAAAGGAAATAAAAACTTTTTTTGGTGGGGTGTGACATTCAATTGATTAATTGACATATAACTTCTTTAGGAAATAGTGATCCGCAAAGACATCGATTCATTCATTCATAAACATAAAGCATTTTAGTGATATCAAATATGGTTCACGGAGTATATATGCACCAGATTCTAGCATTCATCATTTAACTTGAAAGTAAAAGTTGAAGGAAATAATAAATAAATAGATAAATTGACACCGGCATCACCAACGATGCCATCATTTTGAATTACCCGAAGCATTGGATCTGAATTACAGCTTATGATTGCATTGTTGGGAGCTTAGCGTGGAGAGACAGTGTGCACAATCCATCAGCAAGTACAACATAAAGGCAAATGTTCATAGGACAATAGATGTATAAAGGAGTCATGTTAATTATAATAGTAAATTCACAAAAATTAAAGTGTGTGTGATAAATTGCGATAGTAAAATAATAAAAACAGCAAACAACACTTTAAATAGATCAAGATATACTCACATATTAGGGAACAGACCTTTCTGAGTACAAACCACTGGCATAGTCAATACTATGAAACATAATTGGGATGACATCCATATTATGCAAAATGATGAAAGCTAAATAAAACTTTAGATTGAACCTATAAAAACGAAAAAGGAAGGTGTAAATGGTCAAAGTTTGTATAATAGAAAAACTTTACATTAAACATGTGAAGTTTACATTCAACCTATAAAAATGCTAATCTGCTAGAGTTAAATCCAAAGCTAGTGATAAATACATACTCAATTACTCACTATGATGCATGAGAGTTAAAAAAGGAAATAAGATTTTTTTGGATGGGATTGATTTAGACAGTCAGTTTCCGGATTTATTTAATTTTACTTTATAAATTATTCAAAAAAAAGGAGAAGAAGGGAGAACCCAAACAAAGGTCATTAAAATGAAAAAAAGAGGGAAAGATCTAGTCGAATCCCCTTGAAAAAACCGAAAACTAAAACGAAACTGCACACCACAATTTCTATGATGACAACACCAAAGATTAAAATTCAAAATCTAGACTAAAGTCAAAGATGCCAATCAAAAGCCAGACAAAGCAAAAACAGCCTTAGGGGTTCAAATTACAAATTGAAGCTACATAAAAAAGCAGCTACATGTAGATCTTCCATGTTCATCACCAACCAAAAAATAGAGACCAAGAGGGAAATATCCAGCCGAATCCCCTCGAAAAAACCCAAAACTAAAATGAAATTGTACACCAAAATTCCTATGATCACAACACCAAAGATTAAAATCCAAAATCTAGACTAAAGTCAAAGATGCCAATCAAAAGCTAAACAAAGCAAAAACAACCTTAGCAGTACAGATTGCAAATTGAAGATGCATCAGAAAAGCAGCTACATCTTCCAAGTTCATCACCAACCAAAAAATAGAGACCAAGATTTGAGGACAGATTGTTGCATCTAATATCAGCAATCCAACAACAAAAATACAACTCCTTAGAAAAATTGATATAATTCCTAGTCGCTGCTAATCTTGACCAAAAAAAGAGCAATGTAGAAGGTAACAACTTTAGCTAATTTAGTGCAAATCATCTGTTTTTTTAAATTATCAATGAGCAGCAATGAACTCACAAACCCTAAAATAAAGAGCTTAGATTAATAAATATATTGGAGGTATTCATTTTAAAATATTAAAAAAAATATTGACCATTTCTGTTTTTTACCTTGGTTAAAATTAATGGCACGTGAATATAGGATAGATCATTGTACTTTTTTGTACTTGAATAACTTCTAACTGATGATTCTACTTTTGTAATAAAAAAATATAAAAAGTTGTTCATTTTACGTCAAATCTCGTAACGGGTTTCTTTTCGTCATTGATGTAGATTGTGACATTGTTATGTGTGTTGATGATCACACTCCATCAGCAATTATAATGTGAAATAATTAAATGAATATTTTATAAGTTTTTATTCACTAACTTTAAACAATACACATCTTTAAAATACTTACAGATTTAATAACTTATGTTTAAAAATACCTTTGTGTTCCATATTTTGTTGATGTGTATCTTTTCGTCGTACTCTTACATCTTTTGCCAAAATTCATCTCTCATTTTGATGACCTTGCATGACTATAAATGAAGTTTTGATTACAATCACAATCAGAATTATAACTCCTAAGAATTATCTGTTATAGAGTTTTAATTTTTTATACATTAATGTCTTATATTCTAATGAACATGTATGTAATGATAATATTTTATTTATGAAAATTTATAAAATATAATCATACTCCGTAATTAAAAATATGTAAAAATCTAACATTTAACAAAATATGAATAATTCATAAACATGAAACGAAAAAGATTAAAAGAAATCTTTCTTTAAAAAAATAAAGCAACAACCTGGATGAGTAGATGCACTTGAATAGGGAAAATGGCTAAGAATATCTGCAATAGTGTGAATTGGGCAAACTGATTTGCCGATCTCCTGTTACAAAAAAGATACTGAAATTAGTATTTTCCACATGAATATTCATTCTCTATTTGGAGAACAAAATCTAGGTTAAAATCTCAAGTTTTTCAATTAACAACAGGTTGGCAATTAGGGATTATGCATAACACCAGCAAAAAAATAATCAAACTGTGTTAATTTATATGTAATTGGAATCGAGATGCAATATTCTATCATAGAAATTGATATTTAATCCCAACCTAGATGCAAAGATGCAGAATTGACTTACCAAAATCAATCAAAGTAAAGGAATTAGGAGTAGAGAAGACGGAATATAGAGCTCAGATCTTCCAAATTCAAACATTTCCTTTTAGGTGGAGAAGACCAGAGAAATTGAACTCTTTCCTTCTGCGCAGATTTTCCGAATTCTTTCCTTTTTGGAAAAGAAGATTTCCAAGAAGAAACCGATTTGACCGGATCGGTGAAATAGTGTATGGGAAGCTTCGTCGGAAGGAGTGACACATGTACGCTTATTTGTCAAAAGAATAGCACTCTAAATTTGCCAAATGTCAAAATTTTAAACTATCAACTCTCAAATATTATATTAAAGGATATACTCCCTCCGTCCATGTAAGATGTTCTCAATTTGATTTTTCACGGTTTTTTAGGAGAGTTGAAAAAAGGTGAAAGTTTACCAAAATACCCTTAATGAAAATGGGTGGGGTGTAATAAATAAAGTGGAAAAGGTGTAATAAATAAAGTAAGTGGGGGTAGTTGTGGTATTTTAATTATTAAAAAAGGTAATGAGAAGATCTATGTGGGACAAATAAAAATGGCAAATGGGAAGATCTATGGGGGACGGAGGGAGTATATATATATATATATACATATATATATATATATATATATATATATATATAATTTTATTGCATAATGGATAAAAGAAGCAATTACTGCAATGTGGGAGAAGGGTTCTGCCCACCGAAAAAGAACAACAAAATGTATTACAGAAACAAGGTAGAAGGCTGGAATGAAGACCCAAAGATTTGAGATTGTCATCAAGGATCATCCATTTTTTGTCTTTGTGAGTCCAAATCCACTCTTATATAGTCTTCATGGTTGAGGTGATGATGGAGCGTTCATTGAAGGCCTTCCGTTCGTAGATTTCAGCATTGTAAGCTTTCCATAGTCCCCATGCAATCATCCCCCAGAGTATAGAGTGGATTTGGTCCATAAGTTTTATTCTGCACGTACCAAGCCACCAATTCATGCATACGTCGTGGATGGTGTCCCCCCTTTGAATGACAGGCCCGTCAAATAAGGTAGAAAAAAACCTCCAAATCTTTTGTGAGAGCATGCACTGGTAAAGAGTGTGGTTCAAGTTTTGGGGCCCATTGTGGCAGATGTTAATCTAGAGGGAATGGCAATGTCGAATCTGGCTAGGTTGTCTGGGAATGGCAGAAGATTGTGAAGAGCTTTTCGTAGGAACAGTCTGATTTTAGGGATTTGAAGTTTTGACCAGGCCATTTCGCACAAGAGAGAGGAGGGCTTAGCTTCCCTCCAAAAGTTATAAGCAAGCTTGAAGGTGAATAGATTCCCCTCCCACATTTCTGTCCCAGAGATTGTATGAACATGCTCAAGAGCCCAGTTGTGTATACGGGCTGCTCTTTTCCAGGTAACAGTGTCCGTGTGGTATTCATGAAATGAATGTGGCCGGTATTTGCTTCTCATATATTTTCCCCATATCCCTTCTGAATTTCTAATCTTCCACCAGATTTTTGATGAATAAGCAGCTTCAATATCCTCCAATTGCCTAATCCCAAGTCCTCCTTTGCATGTGGGGAAGCAAACATTTATCCAGGACTTCCAGTGATATTTGGGTTTTCCATCTTTGTGTCCCCAAAGAAAATTCTGCATCATCCTGTTGAGGGTGTTGTGAATGGATTTGGGCATCTGTTGGACCGCTAGAATGTGTAAAGGGATAGAGCTTAAACGTGCTTGATGAGGATTAACCTGCCCATTTGGTTAAGGACCTTGTTGTGCCAAGTGTTAAGGTATCCCTCGAAATGTTGGACAAATCTCTTACATTCTTCTTTTTTAAGTTTTCCTTTACCAATAGTTGCTCCTAGGTATTGGAATGGCAATTTCCCTTCCCTCATTTGCAATGCTCTATGTATATTTTGTCTGATGGCCGGCCTAACCTTTGGGTTTGTGTAAAAGAAGTTTTTGTTGAGATTTATTAAGAGACCAGATGCTTTGAGGAAGATGTCCAGCAGCCCTTTAAGTCTAATCAAGTATCTGGAATGCCCATTAAGAAAGAATATTACATCGTCTGCATAGGCGAGATGTGATGGAGGTTTAGCTCTACCCGTGTTGATATTTTTTATGTAACCCTCTTCCATTTTGCCCTTAATTAGCCTACTCAGCACTTCATTGCCAATAATGAAAAGAAGTGGAGAGAGCGGGTCCCCTTGCTTGACCCCCTACCCATTTTAAAAAAGCCATGTGGAAGTCCATTAAAGAGTATAGAGAAATGAGTTGCTTTAAGTGTTGATAGCAGGAGCTGGCAAGATGGGGGGATGAAGCCAAATGATGTGAGAGTGATCTCAAGAAACTTCCAAGATATCCTGTCAAACGCCTTTGCAAAATCAACCTTAAGAGCAACATTGGCATTGATAGTGGTGTTATCAAAGCAATGTATCATCTCTTGAGTGTGTGTGTATATATATATATATATATATATATATATATATATATATATATATATAGGGATTGACTCCAGTCAAATGACACCTTACGGTGAGATGACATGTTACGGTCAGATGACGCAAAGCTCACCAATGTCCACTGCAAAACTCACCAAAATTAATTACAAAGCTCACCAAATTATAAGGTAAAGCTCACCATATTTTTCAACACTTTGAAATTTTTTTGAAAAAGAATAAAATCAAAGAAAGGGTGCTGACTGGAGTTTGACCGTTGACTGTCAGCATTGACCGCCGCCTGCCGCCACCTCCGGTCGCCGGCCGCCGCCACCGCCGGCCGCCACAACCGCCGGCCGCCGCCGGACTCCGGCCACCACCGCCGTCCGCCACCGCCGGACTCCGATCACCACCGCCGGCCGCCGGACTCCGGCCACCGACCCCGGCCGCCGTCGCCTGACTCCGGCCACCGCCGCCGGTCACCGCCGTGCCGCCGCCGCCGGAATCCGGCCACTGTCGCCGGTTGCCGCCGTGCCGCCGCCTGCCACTGCCGCTGACCGGTGGTTGACCGGTGTGGCTCTTTTATTTTTAATTAATTTTCTAATTTTCAAAATTTAAAAAAAAATTGAATTTTGGTGTTCAAAGTGGTGAGCTTTGCTTTATTTCCAGGTAAGCTTTGCATTGTCCATTGGTGAGCTTTGTTGTCTAGTGTGGTGAGCTTTGCGTCATTTCACCGAAAATGTCATCTCATCATAATGTGTCATCTCAGTGGAGTCAATCCCATATATATATATATATATATATATATATATATATATATATATATATATATATATATATATATATATATATATATATATATATATATATATATATATATATATATATATATATATATATATATATATATATATATGGTAGGGTTTGTTGAGAGATGGGGAAGCGTCGCCCCTTGGCGGTGATCCAGTACCGGCGATAACCGGGAACCTCGGAGTAGGGGAAGACGGTCTCCTCGACCGGCGAATGCTAGGAATTTCTAGAAAAATTATGGATTTGAGAAGAGGCGATCTAGGTACTATGATGTATCACACTATTCTTGTAACACCCCAAGCCGCGTGACCCGAACACAAGGACCAGCGGATCGGGTTGCTACCAATTTGGCATTCAAACGCAACAATTTTCAAAACAATTTAAAACATTTAATTCAAAACAATATTTAAATATCCATCAGAGTAAATCAAAACGGTGCGGAAGCCTTTAAGTACTTAGTCAAAATACAACTTTGGGTTCTTGCCCTTAAGAATATAATAATTCAAACTTAAATATTAAATTAGATAACTCCTCCACCTAGCATCCATCTATCTCTTCGCCCTCGCTGTCCTCCAGGATAGTTCCTTATTCTTCATTCGTGTTACCTACATGTAGCAAATAGGAAAAAGGGCTACACGCTCAGCATTGAAGCTGAGTGGAATCTATCTAATGTTTCGACTACGCACATAGACGAACCCACTAGCTCATAACTTCATACAATATCATGCACACAAGTTCAACAGTAATTATATCACATAACAATTATCAGATAAAACAACTATATTATAACAACATACTTTAGATCACTTACCTTTGTTCTTCATCTGCACAAGTCAACATTCAGGTCATTACATTAACTCATATCCAACACTAGCTCATAACCTATTCTATGCTAAGGCCAATTTCTCATTATCCACATTTTTATCTTAGGACTTAGAGCCACTACCTACGGCCATGACTCAAAGTCTACTCTATGACCTCAGAACCACTACCTACGGCCATGATTCTGGTCAACTCGGTACCTACGGCGCCGGTTGGGTGGAACCTCCAATCCTACGGATCAGATCCCCGATTCCATGTACGTACATCTTTACCCGAATGCCACTGGACTAAGTCCACAAGGCTCTACACCTATTGTCAACTTACAATCTCAATTCTCACAAAGTAGTCCTAGAGTTCATTTAGGTAACCTATCTCATTAATTTACTTTAATTATATAGATCCAAGCTAACAACAACCTCAATTTACTTTATTCGTTAAAGGCATATCACACCACATTTACAACAAATCAAGAGAACAGAATTAACCAAATAAATCATCATGCAATCCAAATAGCGGCCTAATGTCGGGTGTAAACACCTTCCACTTACCGTCATGCAAATCACACAAATTTGAAGTAAGAAAACATACCTGGTCATCCTCGTTCAATCAATTTCAACAATAACATATAACATAGATAAATCACAATTTAATTATAAACAAATAAACCACGTAATCAATCATACGAAACTACGAACGTGAATTTCAAATCTATATACGAAATCTAGCGTTAGATGTGCAAGTTCTGACCTCAATTAATTGGCAAATTAAACAAAACAAGAATCAGTTGGTCGGGTTGTTTCCGGCGATCCCAATGGCAGCGGCGACACAGGACGACGGCGGCGGTGTCGAGCTGTTTCCTTCTGACTCTGGTCTGCGGCTGTTTTACGGGCGACCACGATTGACGACAGTGCGACCACGGCTGACCTTCCCCTGTCCGAAGATCCCGGGGCGGACAGCGGCTGACAAAGAACTTCTTCCCGGCGAGGCCTCCTTGGTCTAATCGCGAGTTTGAGCAATTGGACGAAACACTGATTCGGCTATGAAGGGAAGTAGGGTATATCATCTATGTATATGTATATGCGCTGTGTTGAATTCCTAATTGGATTTGGAATTATTGTTACGTATAACAACCATATGTAATTATTATTATTTTATATTATAAAATCTTTATATTTCTTTATTGAACTGTAATGTCTCTTTTACTCATCACGCTTTATACATATATTCAACTATAACAAACTTTATACTGTTGGTCATCATTTTAGGAGATCTATTCGAAAACCTAATTTTTATTTAAAACGGACCACTTTATAAATAATTCATATTTTAGAGTAAATAAATATTATATTTATTTTTATTAAAATAACACCTAAGCAGGTCGTTACAATTCTCTCCCCAGGTTCCGTCCATCTGCTCGGGTATGGCAGAAAGATGAGCAAAAACGGTTATGGAGGAGGCGGAACTCAGGGCCCAGTATCAATGAAGCCGGTCAGATTTCTATCTCAATAGAAAGCAAAGATTTCGAACTCTCAATTGAAGGGCAGGGCATCAAAATCTCTGAATCCAAATCAGGTAAAATGCGCCTTCTATCAATCTCTAGGGATTTAGCACAATGGCTGATTGAGGTTCTAACCAGGCCAGTTTACTCAAAGGAAAATTGGGAAATAACTAAATTTAATGGGGATTCTATCCTCAAAGTATGTTGGGATTCAAATTGTTCTGGACAGTATGCACGCCTTTCAACTGATAAAGGGAATTCCTTAATTTTCATCCCGGCTGGGAACTCTTTAGATGGACTCAATCTTTTTTGCAAGGGTTTGTCTGAGATTTTAAGGATCTCAGAACAGAGGCTTTTTGAGAGTAACCAAATGCTTCTGCGATATGGTGAAAAGGAAGGTTCCAGGTTTATTCAAGCAAATATGGATGAAGGATGGCGATGCTTCCATAGCGAGCTGGGCTCGGGTGGATAGGATGAAGAACAGAAGGGTTATGGGAATAGTTACTATGTGGACTCAACACATGAAAAGGAGATGGAAAGTATTCGGAGACACACCTCAGATGTTGAGCCGCCTCCTATCGACCAGGATTGTCTGAAGCAATTCGAACAAGTCATTAGGGATAACATCAACATATTTCGGAAATCAATAGCTAACAAAAAGTTTTTGCATGCTTTAAAAAATGGACAGGTACTCAGTTTCTCAGGGGAAGTCATTAGGGTTACAAGAGAGGCAATGAAGAGCTTTGAATTCATTGATGCAGCAAAATTTGAAGGTGCGAAATATCCGGTATTCCTTGCTTATGCGAATGAGGATATGAATGTTGTTCTCAACCATCTCTGTGGGGTACAAGAATGATTGAGGAATCCATCTGGGGAAAGGGTTGTTCTTTTGTTTGGGTTATAATCACATTGCCCAGGCTACCACTTCTTTTTCTTCATTTTTTGGATTATGCTTTTCTTTTGAATAGACACTTAAATCCAGGGGTTTGTAGGTCTGATTGTACTGGGCTTTGGGTTCGGGTTTTCTATAAATTATAAATGGTTTTGGTAGTAGTCTATTACCTGCAGTTCGGTGATATATATGGGGTTATCTGGTTTCAATCACAAACGTTAAAGGACTTTTGGTGTTGGGTTTGTTTGCGTCTCTCTATAGCAACTATGCTTGGTTGTGGATTTTCTAGCTTATGGGAAGGCAGTCTCTTCGGGCTGAATCGTTTTGAAGAAGAAGAAGACTGGAATGAGTATTTTCTAGCTGAACAGTTAGCTTGGCTGAGGATTTTTGGCTTCTAGGAGATGTTTGCTGGGTAGTAAGCTTCAAGAGGAAGAAGTCAAATTATGGGCTGGTGTTATAGCCATCTCCTTATCCTTTTGCTTTTGAGTCCTGTTTTCTTTTGGCTTGTTTTCTGTGATTTGTTTTGGCCAGTTGTTGGGGACGGCCACCCCCACCTCTTGTACCTTTCTTCTTTTATGAATAAATCTATCTTTCATATATATATATATATATATATATATATATATATATAGATTTTGGTTCTGGTGAGAATGCAATCTTAGGAGAGAAATGAGAATGAATCTGGTGCTTTAGATTGTGAGATCTAAGGGTCAAGATTTCATCAAAATTAGATGCACCAAAATGGTGCGAAAATGCATCACGTCGAAATGCACCATAAACCTTCGAAAATGCATTATCTCAAAATCTGAGCGCAGGATGCAATCTGGGCCGCACGATGCATCAGATCCGACGATTAGATTTTATTCTCATTTCTCTCCACAAGGTGCATTCTCACGAGAACCGACCCCTATATATATATATATATATATATATATATATATATATACATATACATATATATATATATATATATATATATATATATATATATATATATATATATATATATATATGTATATATATATATATATATATATATATATA